CAAGCGCTAGCCAATCGCATCGTCGACCTGGAGGCCAGACTACAGACCTTGGAGGCCGGAGGAGGGGAAAACCTACGGGGGCCACTGACTTGGAAGATGACGCTGGCAATCGCAAACCCACGATCAACCGGCCATTACGAGGCCCTGCAGGAGTCGTCGTACATTGGTCCCAGTTAACAAGCCTCCAGTACCGGCAGCAGTTGTTCGAAGGTTTCGGGGATGGTGTGGGAAGGCCGAAGCTAGTGCTGTGCGAGGTTCCGGTCGGTGTCAGGCGGGGAGGCAGGTAAGGTGGGGTTAAACAGGGTGTCAGTCTTTTGACTGGGGGAGTGGGTTCGGACCAGTCAGGGAGAAGCAGCTGGCAGGATAATGGTCGAGTTTCCTGGTTTCCTACTTTTGCTACCTAAAGATGACTCGCTGCTGTTTTTTTGGAATGCCAGCTCTCCCGCAACAGTATCTGGAAGACGATTGGATGACCCTGGTGAGCAAGGTCGCTCATGGTCATGGTCTTAGCAGGGGTGTTCTGCGAGTCGGGTTAACAGGCAAATGGAGGGGGAACAGGTCTGTCTTCATCCCCGAAAGGGGCCGCTCAGAAGCACCGATTCAGACCGGGATGGGGTAAGCAAGCAAGCAAGAGAGGACCGCAGGTGCGCGTCCGCACGCGGGAGGGGGGGGGAGCGCCCGCTTGCCTCCTCTGTCCTGGTATTGGTATGTATGTATATATATATATATCCAAAATAGAGAGAGAGAGAGAGAGAGAGAGAGAGAGAGAGAGTGAGAGAGAGAGAGAGAGGGGTAGAGGGCAACCTCTGCCCACAGCCCTGGCGAAAGAAAGAGAGAGAGTGGCCAAACACCCTCAACAGTACCCACCTGTCGGCTCGAAGCTGATCGCTGCGAACCAGGAGAGTCCTTCCGAGCCGAGGCAGACTTCGAAATGCAAGACGGGTCCTTTGCATGAAGACACGTGTCTAGACCAAACGCCGAACAGGTACACTTGTTTGATCCGTGTGCCGGTCGTGTAGGTCTGCATAGAAGCGAACCAATGCAATGCACACGCAGACGAACCTGCGATGATGGCTTGCCTCTCGCACGGCTTCGTGTCTTCACGGCGTGCCGGCCTTTGCCCTTGGAGCCCTTGCCAGCATGCGCCCGCGCTGTCCAAGGACCCGTGGGGATGACTATGCAACACTTGAAGAACCACTTGTGGTACAAACCGTCCATTATCCATTCATGACCCACCGTAAGCAAAGATACGCAGTGGCACGTGACAGGTGATGCGCAAAGTGGCTGACGGCAGCCAGCGGGCGTTTGGCAGGCTTGTTTTCGCCAGCCTGCTGGTTCATAAGTCTCTCGGTTCAACGTGACACCCTGGGGATCCTTCAAGCGTTCCACAGGTCTCTCGAAGCTCGAGACTGTAGCGCCTGTCATCTCAGGCTTGGCATCCGACGGCGACATGGCCCCTTCTTGCGATCATTGAAGGCGCAAGCATGTGTGAATGGAAACTGAAAGACAGTTTCACGGTCCGGATGCTGCCACCATGTCCTGCCCCTGTCTGAAGGACCATGCAGCTACCGCAATTGATGGTACCACGGCCATCTATGCTCATGCCTGGTATCCCCTGTGCTTTACGGGCACCACGGACCAGCCAGAGTCTCAGATCAAGTGGCGATAGTGTGTCTTGAATAATTATACGTACTATACGTGGACCTCGGAACCACCCGTTCTCACGCCCTCAGATGCCCTCAGTACCGCTTACGATAGTGGCGACGCTGACATGACACTTGCGTTGCCTGTCCAGGTCCAGGCCTCACTGCATCGATGTGTGTGGGGCCAGTGTTGTATTCTGGCACAACGGAGATCGCTGGTTCGCGGCCCTGGATGAGTGCCCTCATCGATGCTAGACGGCAGTGGATTGGAGAAGATTTTGCGGCGCTTCAGCATTCCCATTGCGAAAAAGCTCTTCGTCTTGTCGGGGAGACACGTGGAGAGGAGGTGTCAGGGAGCGGAAAGAGTTCTGGACCCTCCAGTGCGAGGCTTTTGCCTTACCACAACTCCCAAAACCAGCTGCATCCGTAATGAGGTGCAGCCCGGCTATCCGAGGGGCGGATCCGAGAGAACGGCGACATCGAATGCCCTTACCACGGTTGGTCATTCGAAGGCAGGGCGGCCTGGCCTGGGGAGATGGAGACTCGAAGGCTGCCAGACGCACGTTTCTTGGTGCCCCTGCTCTCCAGGTAAGACTGGCCGCTGCTCGCGCATTCCGCAAGCAGAATCTGAAGCCGATCGCATGCGAGAGTCTTCGCGGGCCCTCTGGCATCTCGAGTAGGGTTACGCAAACGAATGCTCAAGCGTTAGCGAGCTGGGTGTATCAAATCGTACAGGGTCGCTGTTACAAAGCGGAACAGTGTTTCAGAAAGGGTTGCGAGGGACAGCAGCGAGGCTTGTGGAATGTTACGCAGATCGTGCAGAGTGTCTCGGCCAGAGCAGCCTTTGCTTGCGCCCAAGGCTTGTACGACTGTTCTACCTGCAGAGGAACGTCACGGCTTGCTGTTCGCTTGGGCTGTACTCTGGCGACAGCATGTGGTGGGTGGTTCAATGGACAATTGCCAAAGTGTTAGCCAAGGCACCACTCTTCGGCTCTACAGAGCCGCCCGATGCAGCTGCCTTGGATGCTGTGGCTTGCGAGGCGGGGGAAGGCGAAGCAGAGACCTTTTCGATGTGGCAGTTCACGTGCCTTCCAAATGCTCTTGTTCGGTGTGACTGCCGTAGCTTGTTTGGGAGGATGTGAATTTGAAATTGAACTTGTAAGCTCAGCAGTCGTCTAGATTCCCCTTGTTTCACGTTGCGCCTGGCTTGTGCTGACACTTGCCACGCAATGAGGAGATTTTCGAAACAACGGGTGTGAAGCACGTTGACTACTCACGCGACCTCCCCATGGATTTGCCTACCGTGATGGAGAATGTGTTGGCCAGCGCCTCAACCATCTGACAAAACCTCTTAATATTCTGGTTACGCTGGTAGCACATGATATCACAACGATACCCGCTGATTTAAAGACTGTGCGAGGTAGTGTTTAGAACTTGTCAAAGTTGTGAACGACTCATTGCATGATTGAATTCAAGCGGATACAGAAAGATTCGGAAGGATGTCGAAATCACAGGCAGAGCAGAAGCTAGGAAGTCTGAATTCTTGCGCATCCGAGCATAGGCTACATCAGCTAGTAGTCCAGTACATCACTACTGTCCCAGAACCATAGAACTTTGAGATTTGCACATCAGGACCCTTCCCATCTGCCATTTACGCATCACGACACAATCAGCAAGCGCTCGGTGCTCAGCGAACGGCTTCCGTATACTGGCTGACAGTTTGCGCTGAATTTCTGAAGAAAGCACTTGCACCTTCATCGGGCAGGGATGTTACATGCCTATCTATCTCTGTCTCACTCCACATGCATAACAAGTCTACATACAGACATACAGACATACATACATATACACAGACATACATACATATGCATATGCATATGCATATGCATATGCACACACATACACACATACATACATACATACATACATACATACATACATACATACACACAAACACACGTGCATGTGTACCGGTCCTTCTTTCTTTCTTCTTTCTCTCTCTCTCTCTCCCTCTCTCTCTCTCACTTAGTCTTTTCGCCCTGCTTGTCAGACATGCATGTGCATGTGCGCCCATGCACAGATAGTGCACACCCTTTCTTGCTACATGCACTCCCTGGTGTTCTGTCGAGGTGACAAGGCAGCACCCGTTCCAGTCCGAATAGAAGGACCACCAACTTCCGCAGGCGAAGCGACTGACTAAGCTTATTCTCACTGTCATCTTGCCCTTGTACCATAGCAACTGTGTCCTGCAAGTCAAGTTGTTCGCATGCTGGTGTAGGCTTCTTGCTGCACTGCAGGGCCTCAATCTGGTGACCGCTTCTTGAACAGTGCTTTTGCGACTTGCAACAACCACAAGCTGTTCTTGTCCTCCCAAGTTCCAGATTTTCACAGTTCCGCACATCCGAATCTCGTTTGTCTCATGTCGGACTTTCGAGGGCCACCCCTTCAGCAGGTCACCAAGCCATCCAATTCTGCAATAGCACCTGGCCAGACCGCTGGATGCCAGTCGGCACTCGCCGAGCAAAACCAGCTACTGCTGTGATCTGGAGGCTTCCGTGGTTCGCGGGTCACATCAGCTCCTGGTGCCGTGCGGCTTGGCCTTCCGAAGACAAGCTTTGGGGAGAAGGCATTGGGACACCAGGGAACCCACGGCTTATGGACGGACTTGCGTGTGGAGATATGTTGAGGTTCGCTTAGTCCCGTGTAATTTGAAACGAGGCTTTTGCAGTGTGTCTTGACTTGCTGAGGTCTTTCGTGGCTCCGAACCATGCAGCTCGGCAGCACAGATCCAGACGAAGCAACACATCCAAGTGGTCGTGATCACTCTGGACCAGGTGGTGGCCCTGACTGCGCGGCCTGAATCATACCGAGACTGGAACATTGTCTTTGTCACCCCGGGGCGACCGGGTTGTTGTCGAGCCATGGCAGCCTTCGAGTGTGCATGGATTTTTTGGAGCAGCTTTCAGATCTCGTTGGACAAGAGTATGCGGCATGCGGGAATCTTGTATCAGACATGCCTTCCAAGGTATCTTCGCCACCTGGCAGCAATCGGTAAAGCTTGGATATGTAACATATGGCGCCGTACCGCCTTCAGAATACTGGAAAGTTTGCTTTGTCCATGCAGCTTTGTCTCCAAGGTTCGCGTAGTTTTCGAGGTGTCCAAGATCCCTCCACCACTGTGCTTCGTCTTCGAGTTGGCCTTCTCACCTGCCCTCCCGGTGCCTTGAAGACAATTTGGCTCCTCTCTGTTTCAAGACTGAAGCTGCAACTTGCTTGGGATAGAAGCTTTGGCTCAGACGGCCGCCGCCGCAGCCATTTGGCACGAGCTGGTAGAATCGGAAATAGAGTCCGACCACCATGGGGCTTCGTGGGAAGATGTGTCCTAACTGGCTCCTGGCCACGGCCCTGCTTCCTTCTGCCGTGGCCATCTGCCCCGAGGTGTGCACTGCCACAGGCGGTACATCTTGGCCTTGCAGATACCACAACGGCGGCCAGTGCACCGTGGATGTGAATCCCAGTGTTGCCAGGGCAGGGGCACAAGACATCAACATTGCCGTCATCAGCCCATACACAGGTGTGATTGGGGACATGATGACAATGGCGGAGCCTCTTCTCGCCTTGGCGGCACAGGAGATCGAGGACAGCGGCTATCTTCCAGGCTACCGGGTGAATTTGCATCTTACCGACTCAGGCTGCGATGAGGCAGTTGCTACGGAGGCCACCATCGAGGCTTTCACGGTCGGTCCCCGAAAGCACGCTATTCTGGGCGACTCCTGCAGTCAGGCATGCGCGGCAGTAAGCGATGCTGCACGTCTCTTCCGGGTCCTTATGGTATCACCCGGGTGCGATTCACCTAGCCTCAGTGACCGGACGCGATATCCATACTTCACGAGGATGACGCCGTCTGACCGCTTCAAAGTGACCGCTATCTTCGAGGTGTTCAAGATGTTCTCCTGGCGTCGTGTTGGAGTGATGGACGGGCCGTTCTACACAGCAGGCGCGAAAGCATTCTTCCTCGAGCTCATTCAGCGAGACTTGGATGCAGGCGCCTACGATTGGACGGTTTTGCTCGACCGCACCGTGAACTCCCTAGAAGATGCTATGAGCGCTGCGGATGAGGTCCAGGTGCGTGACTCACGAATCAACATGATGGTCCTCCCGGAGTACATCGGCATGTGGATGATGTGTCAATATTACCTACGCGGCATGTTGCCGCCAGATTACGTGTGGTTCATCGCAGCTTTTGGCAACTGGGTGAACAACCTCACGAATGTCATGGCTGGAACGCCCGAGTGCCCTTGCACGGCTGAACAGCTTGCCAGAGTCTCTGGTGGACTCATGATCAGCGGCCGGTCGCCGATCCAGAATACCAACGAGATTCATGGCCTCTCGGGAACGAGACTTGCGGACATCTCCAACTACTACAACACTGCTTGCCAGCAATTCGCGAATGGACTTGGTGCGTGTGACTATGTGTGGACCGGCTACTTTTACGATGGCCTGTGGCACTTGACTTCTCTACTGCACACATACCTGATTGAGCAAAACCATTCGCTTGCAGAGCTTGGCACCTCCGCCTCTCGGTCGGCCTTGTACGAAATGTCTTTGGGAAAAGATTACATGGGCTTGACCGGCCGAGTCCGACAGTTCAACAGCATTGAGCCGACGACCATCCCTCCTTCCTACGGCGACCGCGATGGCGTGCAACTCATCCGGCAAATCACTGGTGGACCGGGCAACGAGTTTACCGATCTGGCACAGCGCTCCAGCTCTGGTATCTTGTGGCTCGCAGATCTGGTGTGGAGCCCCTATGACAGCCGGCTGGTGCCTTGTAGCACTGGCACTTGTGCCTTGGGTGCTGCCTGGGTCCCGTCGGACCGCATTGCCCAGTGTCCTGCGGGAACCGTCTTCTCCGTGCAACTTGGGTGCATCGCATGTGAGGCGGGCAAATATGCAGCAGCAGGGATGCTTGAGTGCCAGCCATGCGATGTTGGTACGTTCACCAACGTATCGGGCATGGCAGCATGCCATCCATGTGCACCGGGGAGCTACAACAATGTGCTTGGAGCAGATGGGTGTGAGGAGTGCAGCCAGGGGTTCTTTACGAACGAGACAGAATCCACGGGATGCATGCAGTGCCCGATCGGCTTCTATGCGGCACAGAAAGGCTTGGCGACTTGCACAGCATGCCCACCTGGGCTGACGACCTTCTCGAGAGGTGCGCTTGATTCTGACGCTTGCCAGTGTCAGGGCGAGTTGTACCAAGGACAGTGTGTCGTATGCAGTGGCAACACACGCTACGAAGCTGGCGCATGCATTCCGTGCTTGGAGGGTTTGACATGCGACGGAGGTCGCACTGCAGAAGTGCAGCCGGGCTTCTTCACCGACACCGCCGCTCCCTTTGATGTCTACAGATGCCTTCCAGTGGAGTCCTGTCCCGGCGGCCCGCCGGGAGAGTGCGCTGGAGGACGGGTAGGCATTCCATGCACACAATGTTGCCGGCATTGCTGGCACCGTTTCCATTCCGGCACTTTACTACATGATGAACATGAAGCAGACGGCCAAGGCTACCACAATGTTGGCCACCTCGTGTGCCCTGGCCATGACAATCAGCATGCTGCAAAACGTTGGGATCGTGGGCTACATCTCGTTCAGCTGGCCGTCGGAGCTTCAATGGATGTTCGATCTGATGAGCCTTTTCACGTTGGACCTGCAAGCAGTGGGCTTCGACTGCGTGTCCAGTTCGCCAGTTGCCGGATACCACATGACAGCCGCCATGCTGCCATGCGCTCTCGTGTGGCTGGTCGTTTGCAGCTTCCTCAGCAAGCTCTTGCCGGCCCGCTGGCAGTTCGACAGCGGCAAGTTGATCAGTACTCTGGGCCAGTTTATGCAGGTCAGTTTCACGATCTACAGTAAGATTGCGTTGTCCCCGATGATGTGCTACTCGCATCCAAATGGCAAAAGCGGCATGCTGGAGCACAACGGCATCTTCTGCTTCGAGAGTGCCGAGCACACGCCCATGTTCATCGCGGGGGTCTGTGTCCTTTGTGGAATGATCAGCTTCTATGCCCTGGCAATTTACGCCACAGTCATTGCCCCGAAAAGAGCCGCAGCTGGGGACGCATGGTTCCTTGCGGCAACACGCTTCCTTCTCTTCCGCTTCCGCAGCGACTGCTGGTGGTATGGAACTTTCATGATGCCTCGTGGTCTGTTGCTATCGCTGGCAATCGTGGCCGCAGGTGATAGTCCTTATGTGCAGATGTTGATCATTGTGTCCGTGATGCTGATCTACATGGTCGTGCAGCTCATGACGTGGCCATGGAAGCTTCCGGCCTTGAACGCCTTCGACGCAACCATCAGCTTTTGCCTGATCCTGATGATGGCGATTTTGGGAGCTTTTGCACCTGAGTTGTCCGAGGGCACCATGCAGCAGCTCACGAACGCCGTTATCGGCATCGTCGTGTTCCTCAACGGCGTGGTCTTCCTCATGCTTTGTGTTACTCTCTCCGCTTTGATCCGACTGAATGTCATGGGTGGCGCTCAAGAAAGTGTTCTTCTGGCACTTGGACCCATTCCCAAGCCCAGTGTTCTCAGTGAGAAGCTCTGCCTTCTGTCGAAGAGGATCCAGGACTTGGGCCAGGATTCCATGGGAGATGTGCTCGCGAACCTTTCCATCTATGACTTGCGCATGGCCGCACAGATCGTGACAGCCGTGGGCTCCGAGGTGGGGGAGGCCTCGTTGGTGCTGACCAGGCGATCGCAGCTGATGTCCACATCCTCCGTGATTTCCGCCAAGGCGCTTGAGAAACACGCGCCGATCACCGTGTCCTCCGAGGTGGCCAAGAAGGAAACATCACTGATAGCTCACGAATCCCACGAGCTAGAAGATGCTAAGGACAGCAGTAGAGCTGCGTTTTCCGATCCGGCTCAGTCAGCTTGGCTGTAGGAGTTTGTGAGGAACCCGTCTGGCATAGCCAAAGGGGACTCGACTAACTCGACCTTTTCATTCGCAACTTCAGGGTGCTTCTCCCGGAAACCTCGAGATGGCCTAGAATAGTTAGCAGTTTGAAGCTCCGAGCGTTCCCCGCTCTAGACATCAACGGTATAGCCTATCGGGAGGAAGTTCTACCTTGAGACAAAATGGAGTTGCTTCACGGCCCACTCTTCCAGACAAGCCCTGGCTCAAGGCCTCGGCGTGCAGGCCGCCCCATCCGTATGCTGGCCTTGTTTCAGAAACATAGACTTTCGGCTTACCTCAAGGCCAGTACACACGGTTCGTCGGCGAGGCTTTTCGTGAAGCATCTCTCTCTTGCTTTGTATTGGATAAACTTCGTGAAACTCACATTTTCCAATGACGAGCCTGGGGGTGTGTGCCATCACATGGTGCCTGTCTGATGCATCTTTGCCCACCCCCTTCGTCGTGTTTTCGCTGCTCGGCTAGCCCACTGCAGAGCTGAGAATGGCTGGCGTGGATTGGTGCCAGCCTAAAGCAGTTCCCAGCTGTACCTCGAAGACCTGCATGCAGGGAGTGTTGTGATCCTTCAATCCAGATGTCCTTGTGATGACTAGACGCGCAGGAGCACAGCTTCGTGATGTTGTGCGTTCGTCCATGCGATCGGTCCGCCTGCAGCCGGGAGCTGTTCACACCGAATGGAGGCGGATGGTGGCGGTTGTGCCTCTCGCTGGGGCGCCACCACCATGTACAAAGGAGCCCTGGGCAATCTCGCGCTCCATAGCCTTGAAAGCCTTGAACTCATTCATTGGAATTCTTGCAACTGTACGAAAGCTTGCATGTTTGTCGACTGCAAGCGAGAGCCGGGACTGGGCCCAACACCGCCGACGGAGACTTGACCAGTACTATGCTCGACTGGAAAATATGGTCCGATCTGCAGGCCTCGCGTAGCAGATTCACAAGCCGGACTTACCAAGCCCGAGGCTTTCGTCACTCACCTCTCCAACCACAAAGTTCTAGAGGTGCGCTGCGGACCAGATGGGATCGGGGGCTGGAGGTGGGTTGAGTCAGGTGGGGCTGCAGGCAAGTAATTCGAGGCATTTCCACAAACAGAGTGCTGCACACGGGCACACTGCGGGGCTCGTTACTTTCAGAGTAATTAAAGAAACTCGGTCTCTTAGCGTTCGCACGAGGCGCCCCCCACCGTGGACGCGGGGAAGGTTCTGCCCATACCGCTACGAATAGTGATGAGTCCAATTGAATCCCTCGGTACATGGAAGCAGAACCGAGGTGTACCCTGGGTTCCACATGAAGAAGTTTCCATCAACTGTGGTGAGGGTGAGGTGTTCCTGGCGGAAGGTCTAACTGTAACTTTTGTCTAAATGGAGCTGGTGGTCTCCTCGTGGTCGGTTTCCTTCTGGTCTACTTGGTCTCTAGATAGATTCCTGAAGTCTCCCGGTGGTCTCCTTGTCGTGTCTGGGTGATCTCCTCAGGTCTCCTGCTGGTGTCCTCGTGAATTGTCTGGTCGTGGTGGTGGTGGTGGTGGTGGTGGGGCTGGCGGTCGTGGTCATCATGGTCGTCTTGTTGCTCGATCTCTGTTTGGGGATCTACCCTGGCCTAGTGAAAGCAATGGTCGACCCACTGAATCCTTTGCAGAGGGGTGGCGGGGGCCTGCAACTCGACGCCGCAGTAACCATATGTGGTACTGTGTTGTTGGATACGTGCCTTTCTTGCAGTCCGAGTGGAGAAGCTGAGACCTGCCAGGATGACAACATCTTCCTCCACTTTCAGGGCGAGAACCTGGCACCAGACGGTATGCAGGCCTTGCCGGGACAGAGTCTGTGGTTCCCTCACACAGCACAGTCCAGGACTCGCAGTGGCGAGAGCGGCTGTATATGCCCACAAGTGCCGACGGAGCGGTGCTTTGTTATCATCGCTGGTTGGAGCAGTTCTCTGAAGGCAGGGAGGTCGACCACGTGTCCCGAGTTTTCGTGGCAGGATATCACAAATACTACGCGATAAGGAGGGCTTGAACCGGGCAAAGACCAGCGGTAGCTACAAACATCCGCTCAGCGGCATTCGCCACATAACTCCGGATGCCTGAGCTGAAGCTTTGCAACCCCCGAACCTCGAGAGCGATAGATGGAGGGAGAGAGAGAGAGAGAGAGAGAGCTCCCCCAGCCCATAGCCCTGACGAAAGAAAGACTAAAGAGATCTGTGGAAACAGTCTTTCCACGACTCTCCACAAGGCCCAGCAGCGTGGGGTTTCGGCCCAGCATGCCTCGAACGCCTCCCATGCCCAGGGGAGAGACAGAGAGAGATACCCCTATTCGCCCTACCCCCAACCTGACGAAAGAAAGATAACCCTAGCAAAGCAAAGCAAAGACAGAATAGTTGACAACTTGCAAGCTCCGAGTGGTAGCTACGGGTGCGCACGGCGCAGGGATGAGGCCGGGATGCCAGGCGGTTTTGGTGTTCGGGGAAGCGGGGCTTGCAGCCTACAACTCGGAGCCTACCAAGTATTTTTTGCCGCAGTCAGCGGGGACCCCAATTGCCAATGCCGTCCACTCACTGAAACAGAGAGTGGACGGGCCGGCCAATGTCCTCAAAGTCGGCGGCCCCGACCCCTGAGCCCTGCAGAAAGAAAGACAGAGCGAAAGAAGCCTTGATTCTGCATGTTCTCAAGACGGTCTAGTGCCAAAGAGCCTCTGAACACTCGAGCTTGAAGACCAACATTTGCAACAGAACCTTCCGCTCGCGTTTGAGCTACACCAGCGGAGGTGGCATTGTCTGGGCTCGGCAGCGCACCTCGGAAGCCTGCAGTCACTGCAGTCTCAGCTTAGAACCTTACTTAGAGGATTTAAAGTGAAATTAGCTTAGACTCCACTGATTCGATGTCTCGAGATTTGTGTCGCCATCCTTTGCCACAGAATCGAACCAGTGCCTGATTGTAGCCTTCTCATCTACCCCTGCGGCTGTGGCTGAACTTGGAGGGTCCTCGAGTTGGAAGTGGCATTTGTGCCCGTTCAGGTGAGCGCAGGCAGTGGGCAAGCAAGTTTGAACTCCTCGAGCGGCGCTACTCCCACACGGCCTGTTGGCATGTTTTGCTTCTGTCATGTGTTGTTTCAGAACTTCTTGTTGTATTCCACGGGTCAAACTGGTGATCGTCAAGGACCTGGAGCAATTCCTACTCCCTGACCAACCAATGTAGTGAGAAGAAGCTTTAGGCAGCCTGGAGCAGGAAGCCAGACTTGTGAAGTGCTAGTTGCCAGTGCCAGATGTCAATATTTATCCAAATCTGAGGAGCATTGCTCCAGCTGCTTGAATGCACTCCATGCGGCGGACACGCTGGGGAAGCTGGCTGAAGTGACTGTGCCTTTGCCTCGTTGCTTAGGTTGACGATGGAAGTCGCATGAGCGTCTAATAACTCTAACAGGGATCACGCCATGTGGATTGGATGCTTCAAGTTGACAGATGGTTCCGTGGAGCCTGGGAGGTGCTTTTGGGCGTATTGAGCATCTCTTTGTTTCCAAGCTTTGCGTGGCCCTTGGCGGCGCTGACATTGCTGAGCTACATGATGAAGCAGGAGTGGGTGTTTGGGGGGAGGAGACGGGGAGGGCTCGGGGAGCGGCGCTGGAGTGCTCTTTGCCAGGCTTGCAGCGGCCTGCAGCAGCAGCTCACGGTGGGAGAGTATCCGCCTCCCAGAAACCAAGAGTGAATGCCGGCATCACTGCCGCCTCGGCTTGTTATGGCACGTGACGCGAATTTAGAAGAAAGCTGCATTTCTGAAAGGTCGCAAACTGTACAAGGTTCCGACGTGATCCCAAAGCTTGGATCACTTCGCTCACTTGCGGAAAACGGAGCTTGCGGTCAATCAGTTTCGGCATAGTGGCATACAAGACGAAACTGAAAGCGGTTTGCCTGAGTGGCAATTCAGCTGAAAACGGTGGGCTTGCTTCCGGGGCTGGGGAGGAGCATGCAGTCACTAACGTGACATCCGAAAGTTCACTCTTCAGCCGTTCCGGCTCCTTGTTCCGTAATTTCATGAGCTGACAGGAACCAGAAACCTTTAAGATTTAAGGCCTACTAATAGCTCCTCATACACGCAAGACGCAAGCTGTCACCGCTTGCAGCTATCGCCTTCATGAGCAGAGACAGGGGGGTTGCAAGCATAAGGGCGCGGAGCGGCCGTGTCGGCTTCTTGGGTGCTTAAGCGGTCCCCAGTGTTTAATAGCCAAGGGCAGAAGGTACAAAGCCACCGATCAGCGCTTGTCTAAGACGCATCACTTCCACCCGACACTGGACAATGGACAAAAAGGAGAAGAAAGGAGGCAAAGACAAAGGCGACAAAAAAGCAAAAAAAGACAAGAAGGATGGCAAGGACAAGGACAAGAAGTCCAAAAAGGAGAAGAAGAGGAGAGATAATGATGATCTATCTGATGAGTTCGAAAACCCTGCAGCGAAGCTGCCAGTGGAAGAAACGCAGGCATGGCTTGAATCAGCTCATGAGGTTTTCCGACTGATTCTTGCTGTGCAGGCCAGCAAGACGAAAGATAAGGACATGGAGGACTCACACTTCATCCGGAGTCCAGTCGCCCTCGAGTGCATCAAGCGCTGTGACAAGCCCTTGCCTGTGATTGGACCTGCAGCTGAATATTCAACGCCTCTGCAGTTGGACAGGAAGAGCTGTTCGGGAACCTGGAGGACGAGGAGGCTTGGTGAAGGGCCAGAGATTGCAAGCTGTGTCACGCAGCCACGCAGCCCAACACCCCAAGCCATTGACATGTGGGCAGAGACTTGTTGGGGGCAGACTTGGAATGACCGCCGTCTGCAAGTTGACCGGAGATGTCCCTGTGCGAGGAGAATAAGAATGCCCCTTTGCCGGTGAAGCACGCGCCGCAAGATGATACGGAGGCTTTGGCCATGGGAGCTGCTTGCCTCCTGGATGTCGCTTGTGTCACGCCCCAGCTAACCTGTCATGAGCTGTAGCCGTGCGGGCCGATTTCGGATTAAGCGGAGGGCGTTGCAGGGCAAGGGTCGGGCTGGTGCAACAGGCCCTCATGGAGCAAGTGGAGGAGCAAGTCGAACGAAACAAGCAGAAAGACTCCGGCAAAAAGGCGAAGAAGGAGAAGAAGCTGAAAAAAGACAAGGACAAAAATAAGAAGGACAAGAGCGCAAAGAAAGACAAGAAGCGGCAAGAAGCTGCTTTCATCGACGTGCCCTCCAACGTGGTGGAGCACCCTGAGCCGGAGATGCAGATCCCACCAGCAGTCGACAAGGCACCTCCGAAAGTGCCCACCACCAGACCAGCGTTTGAGCGAGCGACACGATCAGAGGTGTAGGCAATGCACGTTGATACCCAGAAGGTCCCGTTGACAGTGTTGTGATAAGGTTTGACCGTAACTTATGCTGGAAGCGGTGCCGACGCAACAGGACCTCGACGACGAAGATGACGACATCTTCGAGAAGTTCGACCTTGGCGCGGAAAATCTTCAATTTGATGACAGCGAGCACTTTTCGGACAGGGTCATTCCGTAGCAAATGAAGCTTTGTTCACTTGCCTGCCTTTCTACTTGCTTTTATTTACTTGGTTTAGTTGTCTTTGTCTTCCGAGGTTGACCAGACTCATACCATTTAGAGGTACTGTTCTTGCAGTCGCTCTTGCGAAGCTTGTCAAAGTTATGACGCGTTCACCGGCAGGACGATTTACTTTCATGCCGGTAACTCTGGGATTCCGAATCGTGGTTCTATGTTCTTGTTGCGCAAGAGTCTCGCCTTGGAGATAACTGGGAGATGTTGGGACCTTGTCCCCGGTCCTGATCACAGGATATACGACAGGAAGATGTCACACCTGCCACACTGCAGCTGCAAGGGTGTTGAACAGATCGACCCAGCGACCCACAGTACGTGTTCAAGGCTTTATTTGCGCCATGTGCCGGTTCAAATTTGCGCATAATCCAGTTGGCAGGACAGGGCGCCCAGCAGCGTCCAATTCAATGTCAATTCCTCCGGTGGTTTGGCAGCTGGTAGCTCACCGGGTCGAACACGGCAGCTTAGCTTGAAGAAGGATTTTTGAATACCCACCGCGCCGCAGCTCTGCGGGAAACATCTGTCGAGAAGGACGACGACACTGGACACTCGATTTTCCATGTGCAAAGCTTTGACACCAAAAGCGAGGCGCGCTCGGTCCGCCAGCCCCTCGCCCGGCAGTGTGGGCAAGCGCCGCCGGAGGCAAAGGTATAAGTCTCTTCCCGCTCAGGGAGTAAGTGCTTCGGTGAATCTCCCGGAACCGCAAGGGCCTACCGAAGTCCGTGGCTGAGGGATGCAAGGTAGAAATTAGAAAGCATCTTCTCGCGAGCTTTCAGAGCTATTAAGTCAATGGCCGGAATGTGCAGGAAATGTAGGTGTTGCTTTGCTGATCCGATATGATTTCAAGACGAAAGACGAGTACAAAGGAGTGCAGCTGGGCTGGACATTCCGAAACTCCGAACTTGGGCTGAGGGCCCATTATGGAGTGATCCTTGCAGGTTTTGAGTCCTTCGGCCTGGTTCCTTGCCAGCCTACCAAAGAGCAATGCTTCTTGAATCTACGGGGCAGAGCATGTTCGAAAAACACGCATGAACTGCACAAGGGAACAGACTACACAGTTGCACTTTTGTTGCAGACGCTTTAACTTGGTGGCTGTGACAGCCGTTCTGAAGGGCATCTCTGTTTGGGCCATGCCGTAGGTAGCGTGGAGGGAGGATACTCTTAGAGGCCTAAGTACGCGCTGACTCTGCATCTTGCCGTCAGCTGCAGACCCTTGTGATATTGCCCTGCAGATCCGCCACTCTTCCAGCACCTGAGGAGGCCGGCCTTCAGGTTGAGGTTTTGAACTTCCGGTCTCATCCCGACAACCAGCTGTCCAGGCACCTGTGAGCATCTCATGGAGCCAGGGAAATATGTTGGCACTGCCATATCTATCTGTCTATCTCTCTCTCTCTCTCCCCCTCCCTAACCCAAGATAATATGATACACAGCAGAACTTCAGCCGTGCAGTAGGCAAAGCATACAGACCTGCTGTTGTCTAAGATTGCTCTGGTCTTTGTGACACAAGTCAGGGGCACACATGTGGCCAGCCGACTCGAGGCACATCCATTGATGCCTGAATCCACATACTGGCAGGTACAGAGATAGATATGGATGCAACCAGTGGATAGGACAGCATCTCACGAGCAAGCCTTGCAAGGGAGGTTGGTTGCGGAAGAGAAGATTTGAGACTGCAGTCGACCGCTGAATCCTTTCTCCCTTTCAAAACCTCCCCAACAGCTAGATAGCTTTTTCGGAATAGACCGGTGAAGTGATCACCGGCCCCGTGAAGCCTAATTTGGATAGGGGCTTGAGGAGCAAGAGCAGCAGCAAGAGCAAGATCCCCCCCAAAGTGACAGTAGAGACACACACCCCCTTTGCTAAACACACTTTTTGCGTTTCCAGCGGGTAGTAGCCCCCCGCCGTTTGCTATTGGGGGGCAGGGATGATCAGTCACGTGTTCCAGCGTTCTTCGGGCGAAAGGGAATCGCAAGCCACTGCGGCAACGTCTATAGGTGGGGCCCTGTCGATCCTGTCTTCCAAGCATACTAAAGATCGAAATGACAACAACGGGGCGGGGGGCTGGTCACATCCAACCCTCAGCCGCTCCAGACACGGCCTGATGAACCCCAAGCCAGTGAGCTGTCTTGAGACGTCAGGAAGCAGAGCCCGAGCCCCTTGTCGCGAAGTGGGCGCAAGTGATGGAGTCCATCAAACCACGGCGAGGCCCCGTGGAGATGTACTTTCCTCCCGCATCTCTCGTCCTTTCACCCCTTTCGCCGCGGCAAAATAGAAAACAACAGCTCGCAGCCGGAAGTGCCTGCCACATGTAGCAGAAGTGGAGGTCTCGTCATCAAAGACGAGGAGGCCCACGTGCCCCTCGGTGAAGGAATCAGCTTTCATTGGTGTCGAATCGAACCTGGTCCTGGGCCACAAATATGCATACGCACATGATTGTATGTGTATACATACATACATGCATACATGCATAATTACATGCATACATGCATACATTACATACATATACATGCACACACACACACGCACACATATATATATATAGCTGCATATGTATGTATATATATATAGACATATATGCCGATACACACACACACACATTTTTTGTTCACCAGTGTTGACCGGCTTTTTAAGTCGTGAGCTAAGTAGCTGCCAGGTTTGTCGAGGGCTTCGTCAAGAAGATGGAAGCCATTGCCGCGGAAGACTTGGAGGATTTCCAGCAGGGAAAGCCCATGTTGAAGAAGCTGCAGATGCTTCCAGAGGCAAGAGAGGTGATGGAGAAATTCCAGTTTTCCGATGCCTTCATTGCGTATGGTGGGTGCAAGATCCTTGCAGTCTGGCTGCAGAATCTACCTAATGGGCAGCTGCCGTCGGTGCACATCCGCTCCGTGCTGCTGGAATGCATGGAGCGCTTGCCCATCACCAAAGATGCCTTGCGCGACGCGGGGGAACCCCGCCTCGGACAGGTCGTAGCCAAACTCCAGACCCATCCAGAGGAGACCCCGCGCAACCGAAAGCGTGCACGGGGCTTGGTGCAGAGATGGCTACGTCAGATAATGATCCCAGATGAAATGGATACTTTGGAGGGCTTCCTGGCCGAAGGTGATAAGGTCGGGAGCATTCCGCGACCGCCGCCAGAGACCGAAGAGAGCTTGGCCCTGCAGGAGGAAGAGAGCGCCAAGCGCCTTCATCCTGCTGTGCCGGTGATTCAGGGCAAGGAATACGTGATCCAGCCGATTTCCACTGCACAGCCCGTTGCTCGCGAGAAACCGGCCAAAGACACCTATCAGGGCAAGCTCGACGAAGTCTTAAAAGTCATGGCTAGGCCAAACAAGAGGTCTTGGAAGCCTTACTCCGTGTCCATTGCTGGTAGACAGCTGAATGCCGAATGAGGTCTTCATCCATGCAGAAAAAGAGAGGCAATGCAGGGGGTGCCGGTGCTTGCTGCGTGTCCTTGTCGTGGAGGGTGGCATAGCATTCCTTGTATGAGGCCGTCAATACCACGGCATGTTCATGAGTTCATGCTCTTGCATGTAGTTCAGTCGTCTTGTGGACGTCCGTGTTGCCCAGGATCGAACATCGGACTTGGCCGACGGCTCCGTTCTGGTTGTCTCAATGAGGTCGGAGTATAGCCTGGCAAGTCGCAGTCAAAGCATGTAGGTTTCACTGGCCTTTCCTTGCAAGGGACCTTCCGTCATCCGCCGCCGCATCGCCGGACGGGATTGAGAAGGCTAGAAGCGGGAAGAGGAATTCACTTTTGAGTCCTGTTTCTTGTAGGAAGAATGTCCTTATCAAATGCCGCTATTGGTCTTGGCACTTCGGGTTGGGACATACGTTGTGCCTTCCTCCGTTCTGCCATCTCCGCGGATCCAGCGACCCTGCGAATTACTGTTGTGTGAGAGGCCGCAGACTCCGCCACAAGCCAGGCGAAAGCGCCTTACATGTGCGCACATGCACGCACTCGCCGCTGCCGGGCAAACTCGGTTCTGCACCTCGTGGAAGTCTCTGGAGACCCTTGCCGCATCTTGCCGCTTTTGTGCAAGAGGCCGACGCCTCACCGGTATCTGGAGGCGCAGAGGAGCGCCGAATAAGAGCCAAACTAAGAGCATCTTGGGCCCGACCTTGCGATTTGGTGCTTCTGGTGATTCTTCGAGTGCGTCCGGGCAGGAAGCGGCGGCCTTGTCGAGCCTGGAAGGTGTGCGAGCAGCGTTCCCCGGTTCGTCAAGGTAGAGCATGTATGGGTCATTCATGGCCATTCGTTTGAGTCGTATGAGGGCCTTGTCTTGAGGTTGCAGGAGGCGCGATCGACAAGTCAGTCTGTAGGGGCGGCTGCGGGGTTCGAACCGCTTCTGTAAATACTGCCGCGAGGCAGACCGGCTGCTGAATACTGACTATGACAATGAGATGCCAAGGTATGCCAAGCGTTCTGTGCAGGGCTGGGCGCCGCTCACCGACGCAGAAAAAGCCACTCTTAGCCCCTGGCTTGGACTGGACGGCTGATGCATCCGCCCTCAACGCTGCATAGTACCAGTAGATACAACAGCAACTGTGTAAGTCTCTTGGGGCTGAGTGTTGTGGCGTAGTTGACGTTATCTAGGTCTGCGTCTCCAAAGAGCGGCGCAAGAGTACGAGGGCAAGGACGACCTCTTGTGCCGCTGCTAATTCCTGAAGCTCGTCGCTTTTGCAGGATTCGGAGATCAGACGGTCCCGGGAAGCATTGCCTGTCGCGGAGGCAAGGCTTCATTTGGTTCTTCCCGGCTCTCACAGACTCTCGCACGATCGAGGAGAAAGCAAGCGAAGACATGAAGCGTTGAGTGATTCTGTGGTCGAAGATCCAGCCGACACTGAGCCAGAATCGCAAGGCTCGGGCAGCCTTCCTCGAAGCGCTGCAGGATCACCAGGTGGTGGGGTGCCTTGCAAAGCCCCGAAAACTTCCCGAAGTTTTCTCTGCCCAGCATAAAGTGTCACAACATGGAAGATGCTACAAATCGGCAAGTCTGCATAGCCTCGTTGCTCGAAGATCAGAAAGCCTTGCAGACTGCGCACTCAGGTCATTGTTGCCGGTGAAACCGGGTCCGGGAAGACAACGCAGTGCCCAAACTTTATTCTCGAGGCCATGCTGCTCCTCCAAAGACACGGGCTTTCGGCTTTGATGATGGAAGTGGGAGGCATGCCTCGCTTGGCAGCTACATACTGTCGCAGTTGGCAGGTTGTTCGACCGTTATTCCCCAAGTAGTGTGGTACACACTACTCTCGTACGGGGGTCTTTCTTACATGAAGCAAATAGGTTAGCGTAGCGGCGTAGCCGCGAGGCGCACGCACACGCGACGCACCCAGAAATGTTCCATGCTCTCGTCCCGTTGTGGCTCATGGGACTTACACACGATCTGTGTGGTCGGGTGCACGCCTGTGAATCCCGCCAGTATGTGGGAGAAGCATTTTGGCCGTGGTTTCCTGGTAGTTTTCCGGAGGTTTCGTGCTGATCTGCTAAAGTCTTCTGGTGGTATCAGCGTGGTCTCCTGGAAGATCGTGGTTGTCGTGCTAGTGATGCTGGTGCTGCTGCTCTACTTGTACTGTTTGGGTACGTTTGGGTATTCTAAGATATCCAAATCCAGAAGCAATTAGACCAAAACCCAAACACAACAATAGAAGCATTGTGGTGCGTCGAATCTTGGAATCCGAGTTGCGAGCAAAGTTGCTTTAGTTTGGTCGTGTTGCTGCATGGAAAAAAGACTGACGACATCTTCGCCAGAAGAAATGCAGCAAGTGCGAGAGTAGTACGCAGAAGTAGCACCAATGATTTTCGAGTGGAGACCATGATACTCGCCTTCGTGGTCCACCATGGGCTTTTGCTGAACCCATGCTGCTCGATGCTCTCATTGGGGAAGTACCAGCAAAGTACTGCGAGGCAGCGCTAACAAACGGCTGTTTGAATCGTTTGCTCGAGGCACAATCACGAGTCACATTGAAGTCGCTGGGGCATCACCATAGGATTGAAAGCTGTGTGAAGAAGACGCGGCGCCTTGTGCAGCAATGCTGGCAGAAAGCGGTGGGACACTTTGTAGATCGGGGCTCTGCGGCAAAAACCAAGGCGAGTGCCTGTTCTGGGGCCGCAAGGGCTGTGGTAGTAAGTATATATTGAAGTTTGTAGAAGATGCGTGAGTCTTCGCGTGGATGTACCGGTTGACAGGTTGCTAGTGATTTGCGGCACTGGGATACGCACCGTTTCGTGAGATCAGCGTGGCAGCAGAGCAATCCATTTGCGGACAGGCTGCGGCCGCATCTGGAAAAGGAGGCGAGATTTCAATTGTCTGCACACAGCCGCTGGGACTTTGACTCGCCGTAGTATCAGAGTCGCGGAAGGTAATGCAGCTCATTCTTATGATGAAGACGAACCAATAATTTGAGTCCGCCAGCAACAACCACGAATGCCATGGCGGTACTTGAATACCCGAATATACCCGAGTACAGGAGAAAGAGCTGTCTGTTTGACCGAGTGATGTTGAGCAAATCTCACCTGAACACGCTGCGTGAAGCACTTGAGTCTGAGTTGAACCTAGCCAAGCCCGAATGATCTAGACACCCGTTGAAACAACCATCGTCCTTCAGTCCTTCAGATATTAGCCCTGCAGCCGGCTTCCCGGATGGAACATTCTGCATTGTTCTGACATAGCAGAGACACCAAGTGGTCGTATCCAGTGGCCGTAACTTGGCGGCTTACCCACCGCAACAAATGCGATCACTTGATGAATCTGTGTTTGATCTGCTTGAGATGTTTGCAATGACTCGGTTTACAAGCGCAAGGCGTGACCTGGCACAAAGTGTTTTCAAAGCTTTGCTCTGAGGCCCAGGCGAATAGCAGCAGTGGGCGTGGCTACACGTGTGGCTGAGGAACGAGGCATTGAGCAGGAAATCAGATCATATCGTGCACCTTACCCACTTCATGGAGGCTTCACTGCAGGTGCTGGAGGGTTTGGACGTGATATTCGCAGGAGCTTTTCAAGTTAGTGTTGTCCGCCCATGGTTTGTCAAAAGCAGGCTCCAGAGAGAAGACTCAGACGACTCATGAATGCTCCTCGTAAGGAAGCTTCCTTCATTACTCTTAAGGCTGTGAGGCTTGAGGCTTAACCAACAGACTCCCTGAATGCTTTGGTCCAAGCCCATCCCTCTCAAGTATTCCGCGGACGAAGGCTACAAGTGGGACTGCTAGGTGTCGAACCACAAAGTGCACTCAGTGTGTCACTGAAGTCGGCTTCTGCTGAAGGCCTATCTGCCGATCTGCCGTTTACGTAAGTGCAAGAGTTGCCAGGCGAGCCCGTCGGCGATGTGGTGGGCTTCGCGGTGCGCTTGAATGCTATGGCGACCCGGCCGATGGCCTCAGCTGCGATGGTCATTGTTCACAGCTTGTTGAGATGTCGCTGATTTGCGATATCCTGCTGCTCGTCAGTCCCATCGCACATCCTAGCTGAAGACGCAGTCGCTGGCACATCTGAAGCAGGTTGACCAGGCTCCTTTTCTGCACCTCTGGCGTGCTGCTGACTCGGCTAAATGCTTCGCCGGATCTCGATGGGCTGCTTGGTCTGCTCTAGGCCGGCTGTACCAGCTGGTACCCAGATGCAAGTCTAAGTTGACTCAACACATTCTCGGAAAGTTCGCGATTCTCCGCAACACCTAAAAAAAGAGGCATCGACACACTGTCGCCAGATTCCCCCGAAAAGCTTCAGACATCTCTTTGAAACCTGCAACCAATAACTATAATTTTCGTATCATTCTCAACCGTAGGCTTTTTGACCACACTGTTCGTGGGCATGGCTTGAGTGACTTGGCTACTTCTTCTGCTGCTGCAGCTGCTGCTCTTCTTGATACGACGACGACTACGGCGACCACGACAGCTACCACTGGGTGACAACAAACTAATTCTACCACTCTTACTTCCCGCTGCTGCTGCTACTGCCACCTTTCCTGCACCTGCTGGTGCTACTACGACTACCCACCACTTCGAGTCCCAGCCAAGATGAAAACGGTGTTTGTAGGTAGATGAGGTAGCGCGCTGCATCAGTACCCATCGCCTAGACGCGCACGAACCCCTGGGTTTTGCCTGGATTTGCCTGGAATCTCTCCCTTCTGGATGAGCCAATCCAGAGAAGTCTAGGGGAAGTTGGGAACTATCTTAGACGAGTCAGGAAATTTCCAGGCAACTCGTTTTGCCTAATGAGACGGTTCATGCTGGCAAGAAGCAAGCCGGGATCGGAAGGAAGCTGCAAACCATTTGCTAGAGCTTTCATAAAGCCGATTTCGGAGGGCTTGACAATCACAGCGGGGATCTTCATGCGTGATGTCTTGGCATGATCTTTCTGGGCACTACGGTACATTGCAATTAGTGTTCCCCCGGTTCCGGTGACTCGATTCTGCATACAAGGGTCACCCACATCATTCTGGACGAGGTCCACGAGAGGACTGCGTTCGGGATCTGCATCCAAGCTTTTGGGATGAGCTTGCCGTGTTTGGCGTGTTGAGCAAGTCTGGAGGAGCTTGCATACTGACTTCCTCCTCACAATCTTGCGGGAGCTCCTGCGTCGCAAGCCAGACTTGAAATTGGTTCTCATGCCAGGGCCCAAGGAACTTTTGAACTGTTTTTCTTTGTTTTATGCGCACGGCCCGCACCACTGCAGGTGCTGTGATTCCCCATCCGAGGTCTGCCACCTTACAGCAAAAAATCTTCTTGGAATACTTCTCGTGTCCGGACCTCATGGGCCTTCAGAGTGGTCTGCAGCCGCAGCTGACTGCGGGGAGTGGGGCGTTTGGAGTTTCGACCCTGCCTGGCCCTCAGAACAAGCGCTTGCAGCTAAAAGAGCCGGCATTGCTCTCTGTCGCGTTGCATGTAATCTGGAGCCTTAACTTCGAGTGTTTTACGTCATTTTGCTGTCCGCAGGTGCGCTCTTCGCATCATTTCATATCTCTAAGTCAAAGGCTTCATGACAAGCCACGACTGTTGAGTCAGACTGCTGATGCACAGAAGTTTCTGGAGAGTGCAAGGGTGAGCCGCACAGCGGGGTTGCCGATTCACGTGCGTGCTTGACTTTTTGAGGTTTCTTCTCTAGCGCAAGAGAAGTTCCCGTGATCAACGTCTCCGGTCGCAGCATGTCCTGAAGTTACAGTCGTGAGCATAAGTTGAGTTCTCAGCTAGAGTTCAAAAGTTGGAAGCTGATCGCACGGGCTCAACATGAAGACCATGCTGGCGTTGCAGCACTGTGAGGAGGCTACCTTGAGCCAAGGCACGCATCCGGTGACTGTGCGGTACGAAGGGCAGGCGCAGGTGCGAAGAGATGCCAGCCTGTGTGCCAGCCAGTCTGGTCTCGAAGGATTTAAAGTGGCATGGCAGGGCTGTGTTACGGAGCGCCTTGAGGCCGCGTCCCGTGGTGGCATGCTGGCGGCTGCCGAGGTTTCCGACGAGCCTGAAACCCGAGAGGACGGGGATGAGGGATATCCACTTCCGCAAGAAGTCTTGGTCTAGACTCTAGACTTGGCTCGCTCAAATTGACACGATACAGGAGGAGGAGTTTGACGCCCAGGCAGGGATCGAAAGCAAGCGGTGGTTTAACATGCCGTGTCTGGCGGGCCTGGCCGCGCAAGGCTAAGGGTTCACATCCCGAGCCTCCATAGACTACCAGTCAGTGCTGTGACATCGTAGCTGTTGGACTCAGCGACTCAGGGGGGTATGTGCTCAGGTCGAGGGGAAGTCCTAGCTGTCGGTGTGACTGCTTTGACCGCTGTACCAAGTGTCCGCAGTGCCTTGCCAGATACGCCGCCAGTATGGACGTGGGGCCAAGGCGATTCAAGTCGACATGGCTTTTACATGCAGCCCCTGCTCGTTCTCAGTGATGCATGCTGGATGTGTCACACAAGACCAAAACTTACAGGACATTCCAGGATTGTAGGAGTGGCAATAGAAACTCAAAAGTAGAGCAGAGTTTGGACCAGCTCGGAGCTCGGAGGAGATCCGCATCTCGCCTGTGGTTCGCAGCTGCCTCTCGGACGAACGTGGCCTTTCGCTTTGTAAACTGGGAGCCTCGCTTTCGTCCCCCCATTAGCATACAGGCGCATGGTTTCTGCATTGAAGACACACGGAGTAACCACGCCCGCCCCCTCACCCTCACACCTCACCCCCCCCCTGGGAGGTTAAGCAGGAGTCTTGACACTTGAGCCCTGCGATCGTAGAGATTTCAGCCGTGAGCACCGATCAGCTCCTGGCAGCAGACATGTCGGCATGCATGTTGGTGCTCGTGGGAGGGTTGTCTGTTAGAAATGTGTTTGCTTCGCTCTTTTGAGGTGCCGACTACCGCCAGATCGCACGCTTGTGTGCTGCCATTCTCGGAGGCGCGCTTGCTGTGGTGGGCTTTTGGTCTGATGCCCTGCTACAGCACGGAGTTGATTCGCGCGCAAAAACAATCAGGCTGTTCTATGCTGTTCTTAGCTTGCAGAGTTCCGAAATGCAGAGTGTGTCACACGACTTCGAGAGCTTGACTTGTGTGAGGAAGTTAAGGTGTGTAAAGCCCTGCATCTGCGGACAGTTTTGCATCAAGCATTCGTGGACGTAGTTTTTTAGTTAGTTGCAACCGTCCCACGGTGCTGCAGCCGACCTCTCCAGAAGGTGTTGGTATGGCTGAAGAAGGGAGCATCAACTCCGTTCCATGGGCCGAGTCTCCATTCCTGGAACTCAAGTTGGGCTTCATGCCCACACCACGGAAGCCGGAAGTGGATATTGAGCTGGACCCCGAAATCCCTCCTTGCGACGGAGACATCGCATTCGACCCCTCAGCATCTCCGCTGAGACAGCCCCGCTGGTGCAACACTGTGCGCAGGGAGACCCCCAGAGAGAGAAAGAGAGATAGGCTCCGCATGTCCACAGAACTGTCCTGGAGTTATCTTCGGGGTTTTAGTTAATTTTAGTTGTCGTCAACCAGCTTGCTTACCTACGGGGGCATATGATGAACCACAACGAATTCGGTTGGACGTCTGCTCGGGGGACGAACTATTGTTGTGCATTTTGCATCCTCAGAGCAACCTCAGAACAGACGTCGTGGTGTCCCAACAATGCTAGTTCAGTGCATCGGGGGAATTGTTAGAAGCCCGACCCTGCAACAAAACACTTCACGCCCCCTGAAAACCCCATGAAACTTGGGGGAGTAATTGGCGGGGGGGTTTGACAGACCCCTCATGCCCTGGGGAAGAAGAGATATGTAGGTGCATATATATATATATACATACACACACACACACCACTGCCCGCACACAGGCAGGCCAAAAGAGCGGCAACAATTCTTGGAGATGTTTGTGTCCTGCCTCCGAGCTCATCCCCGTGCGTGGTTTCGATGCAAATGCACGGCTGCCATGTGGGATCGAAGGCCACACTGGCACGTTGGAATATGGAGAAGAAGATGATGCTGGTCACCAAGTCCTTCAAACGATGAAACAATGCGATCTGTGGGCTCCTTCCACGTACGAGGAACTCCATGCTGGACCCTCTGCCACCTATCAGCATCCAAGTGGGCCCCTGCACCGCATTGACTACTTGCTGCTGGGCGGTCGAGCGACCACACACCAGCTCAAAAGCATTGTCGCTGAGGACTTCGACACGGCGAACTACAATTGTGATCACTGGGCTGTTGAGATCACTCTGGATGGCACCTTGTGTGGGTGCCCGACACAAAGTACCTTGAGAAGGCCAGTGTATGACAGAGCAAGAATGCTCACCACCGAAGGCAAGCGGCAACTTCGGCAGGCTATGGAAAGGTACGAGCAACCTACATGGGAAATGTCGGTCGACGAGCACTGTCGGCATTTCCAGAACTATGTCTGCGGAATTCTGGATGCCCTTTTTCAGAGGGACCGTAGTGGCCCTCGAGCGTCTTACATCCCGGATGATGTGTGGACAGCCAGAAACTGCAAGCTCGTCCTCAAAAAGAAGGCAAAGCATAGAAGACACCTGTGGCGAGAAGCTCTGCAGGCGGCCTTCTCTGGCTGGGCTGAGGCCAAACCTGTGCCGCTACAAGAGTGGATCCACAAAGAGAGCCTCCTCTACCAGTTGACTGCATCTGCAATTGGTTTTGCCACTGGGTATATCAAGAAGCGGATTGCCCAGGCCAAGACACAGCTGTTTGCTGAGTTTGCGGAACAGGGTCAGCTGACGACCAGTCAACTGCTACAAAAAGCCAAGCGGTGTGGCGTCGGTGGCCGGTGCCAACAAAACATCTCCCGTGAACTCCCATTGCTGCTGGATGAGCATGGTCAGCCGGCAAACAGTCGAGAGGCGAGAGATGAAATATGGCTCAAATACTTCAGCGAGCAGGAGCATGGCAAGATCATCTCCGTGGAGGAGCTGCTGCAACAGAAGCCAGTTGCACAACAACTCGCTGATGAGGTCGAGTGGACCCTTGCCGACCTTCCCTCCATCCAGGAAATTGAGCAGGGCATCCGCCGAATACCCAAGGCGAAGGCCATGGGTCTTGACATGATACCAGGTGAGGCCCTTCAAGCCTGCCCGAGCCAGTTTGCTCTGGCCCTGCACCCGCTGTTTCTGAAGGCAGCAACAGGACTACAACAACCCCTCCAGTGGAGGGGAGGAGTGCTGTTCGAGTGTTGGAAGAAGAAAGGTTCCTGGTCGGATGTGCAGAACCATAGGTCGCTGTATATATCCAGCGTTGTGGGAAAGCTTTATCATCGCCTGTATCGTGACAAATCGCAGCCACAACTGCAAAAAGCATTACACGAGCTCCATCTTGGAAGCAAGCGTCAGGCCCCGATGACGTATGCGGCGATGTACATCCTTGGACATTTTCGTCAGTGTCGCAGAGCCCGCCGTTCTGTTGGGACTCTCTTCCTTGACACGACGGCAGCAGCAGGGCTTTCACCAGGAGTGCGAGGGGTCGTGCGCGATCTACACCATCGTACATGGTTCTCCACTAGGCATAGTGCTGGACTGAAGGTGGCTACGACATTGGCAGGGAGTCGACCAGGCGAATCGTTCGCCGATGCTGTCTTTGCTTTTATCTACAGCAAGGTCTTGTGTAAGATCTCCGAGGCGGCTAATGCGGAGGACCTCTTCAGCCAGTACTTCTATGACCAGGAGAAGGGACCATTTGGAAATGGTTCAGAGGGTACAGCCCTTGTGGCCAGAGATGCCACATGGGCGGACGACACAGCATACCCGATCGATGCTGAGACACCGGAGGAGCTGATGAGACGTGCGGTCAGGCTCTCCACCCTCGTTATCCAGGCCTGCCGATCCTTTGGGATGAGTCCGAACCTGAAGCGAGGCAAGACAGCAATAGTCCTGTCACTGGTCGGCAAGGGACTGCAGAAAGTCCGGCAGAAGTACTTCAGCCACAGCCGAGACATGCTGTGGTTGCCTGAACTGCAGCTTTCGGTGCATGGCGCTCCCCAGTACATCCACCTGGGTGGTATGCTGGACATGACAGCCAGCATGCAGGCGGAAAAACGACGCCGGCTTGCTCTAGCAGCGAATGCCTACGACTCAGGGAGGCGACTGCTATACCAGAACCGGGCCATCGACCTATCGGTGCGAACCAAGCTGTTCGAGATTTCTGTGCAGTCTACCCTGCACAATTTGGCGCTTTGGTGCCCAGAAGGGCCAGCTTGGCAGAGCCTGTGCGATGGCTACTCCAGGCTTCTGCGAAGGCTGCTGACACCGATGGTGCCAACAGACAAGATCTTCCACATCCCACTGCCGATGGTACACCTACTTACCGACAGCTGGAGGCTCGACTTGTTTGCCACACGACAACGGATGAGCCTACTGAAGGCAATGGTCTGTACAGGACCGGAGCTTCTGTGGGCAGTGTTGCAGAAGGAGGGCAAATGGATGCAGACGATTCTGGAGGACCTACGACGACTCCGTGAGTTTGACAAGACGTGGCCAGAGATTTCCATGCAATGTTGGCCAGTCTGGTGGCATGCCATTCGTGAAGCCCCGGACAAGTTCAAGATCCGGATCAAGCGTTGCTTGCAGTGGACCCATGGGAAGCAGAAGGAGGCTGACAAAGCAGCTGTGGGCCTATGGGGACTGTTTCGCATCGCCAGTGAGATGATTCCGGAGACTGTGTCCCAACATACAACATGGTCATGCCGACAGTGCCAGAAGACATTCAAATCGAGGGGTGGACTTGGAGCCCACTTTTACAAAACCCACGGCAGGTCTGCTGCCTACCGCCGTTGTGCCGTTGGATCCCAGTGCAGAGCGTGTGGCAAAGAATTTTGGACATTTGCCAGGCTGTCCACTCATTTGAGCGCTTCCACACGATGCGTGGCTGTGCTGTGTCAGCGTGGTTTGACGGTTGATGCTGTTCTGCCAGGACATGGTAGCCGAGAATGGCGACGTCTACAGGTGGAGCAATTTACATGGGCACCCAATGTTGTCACATCGGAACCGGTGCTCGATGAAGCCCCGGACAGATGGAACGAGGCAGCTACGAATGCCTACAAGGACCTCTGTGACTGCATCACCACCGGTGAGAACTGGCCAACGGTGGAGAGTGTTCAACAAGCGGTTATGAGGATCCTGTCCTGCCGGCCCCTGTACCCAGAGGAGGAGGTGATGATTCTGGATAGACTGGCAGGTGATGCGAAAGACCTGAAGGAGGCAAGCCCCCCTGAGACCGAGGACAATGTCTCTTACTACCAGGTCCAGCTCGCTTGTGAACAGCTTGCAGAATCACTGCCACGAGTCCAGGGATCGCAGGTACCCCTGAACCACACCGGGCAGACCTTCAGAGAATTCCAGGCTACACTCGATCAAGTCGATTGGGGCCGGTTGATTGAACGGTGCCGGCAACAATGCGGGACCTATGATGATGCTTTGATTTCGCTGAGCGATATGTGGGAAACTGAGTGCATGTCGCCCAGAGAAGCATCGGAAGACTCAGTCGCGATGTTCAGTGCCGAAGCCTTTGTGCCAAGGACAGTCAGGAGCGCGTGGGGCAAAATCCTAAAGGGGAAGGCCCGCGCAGTACAGGCTCCTGCATCCTTTTGGGCCGGCCAGCCCATATGCAGCTGCTTTTCGGCGCACTCCTCTGAATGCTGTGAAATGAA